GATTGTTACCTACTTATGGGTATATTGTTACCTACTTGTTTTATAGCTACTCATTTTGACCTTTATTAAGCTTGCGTCATCATTCGAGTGACAAACGATTCGCATTTGCGTCGTCAGAGATATATTAGTATTCGCTTCATCATTTGAGTGATGAACGATTCACGTTTGCATCGTCATTCGAATGACGAATGATTCGCACTTGTGTCGTCAGAGATATATTAGTATTCGCTCCATCATTCGAGTGACGAACGATTCACGCTTGCATCGTCATTTGAGTGACAACGAATTTGAGTTCATGTTATATCTGTAATAATTTTACTTTTGGCGGACACCAAAGCATCCGATGATGAGGTACATAGTGCCGAATTGTTACCCTTACTCGATGATACGTAAAAGCAAAATTTTATCTTATCTCTTTCCTTATAATATTCTGCCTTTGCGTATCACTTTTTTTATATTATCTGATCCTTCTTTTTTAGTGATACATAAAAGCACAATTTTTTCTCATCTCTTTCCTTATAATATTCTGCCTTTGCGTATCACCAAAAGTTTACTATATTTTTCAGTTTTGGAAGCCCTTCTCGCATAGTTGATAGTCTTTGGATATTGCCACTTTACATTAGTGAAGTTAGTATAAGATACTAAAAAAAATCAAGTCATACTTCTATGTATTCTTTTGCATATCACTTTTTCACTAACTTTTGCGTATCACTTTTTGCTAACCTTTGCGTATCACTTTTTTGCTAACCTTTGCGTATCACTTTTTTGATATCCACCTAATGATATGTAAAAGCTCAATTTTTTTCTTACCTTTATATATCATCTTTTTTGATACATAAAAGTTCGATTTTTCTTACCTTTGCATATCACTTTTTCGATATCTGTTTAATGGTACTATGCGTCTTGGTGTGAACCAGCTTCCAGCTGACACTAGCTCCGGGTAATAACTACTCTTCGTGACCCAAAAACCCGCTTTGATAAGTGTCTGGTCATCTAAATCCTATCATCCAAAATCGCACGACACAAAAACCCTTTATATGATCTAGGTATTGAAAACATTAATTTTTTATTTGAATTTTTTCTCATACTTATTGTA